CACTATGTGTCAAATAAATGTTAACTGTCCACATAGCTAATAAGTATCTTTCTGACCAGGATTTGATCAAAGGCCTATTTTAACTCAGAGTCTTTTTCCAAATCAAGGAAGGGCATGCAAGTTTCTTCTAAAATGTGGGCTACATGGTTTCCGTTGCTCTGCTCTGCCATTCTAGTCAGAAAGCAGCCACAGACAGTATGTAACTGAATGAGTGCAGTTGTGTTACAATAAAACTTTATAAAACCAGACAGACAGTCCACAGTTTGCTGACCCCTGAAACTGTCACTAAGATAACTATAGAGACAAAAATACCAATCAGTATTTGCATTTTATTGTCTAAGACTCAGAACTGATAACTCTGTGATGGGACTTGGGATATTTACTGATTTGGTCCTGGTTAGATCATGGTGCTTCACCGATGCAACAGAGAATTAACTATGCATGATTTACCTTTCTTAAGCCTGGCTATGAGGAAGTCAGATCTCACAAAACAGTCTCCTCAGAGAATCCCCTACTCTGAAACAGAAAAACTATCATTCATCATTTTATAGAAATAAAGAACGAGGAGTCCCTCAGCAAATGATAATTCCAAATGGTAACATAAGCCCATGTAGTAGAAGGGATCAGGGCAGGACCCCCAAGAGAATTACCTAATTCAAGTCCTATGATGAAGTTGTTCAGCTTCCCTGTAAATGGAGATGATACAAACATCAAAAAGTTGTATAGTTATGAAAAAGTATTTTTAGAAATACCTGAAGTCCTCTATTAACATGTAGTTTGACTGAAAATTTATGACCAAAACAGACAATCTTGAGTAAAGGTTTGGAAGGATCTAGATCCACACCTATCTTTTAAGAAATTATTCCTGGCATAGGCAAGAATCTTGCCCCAGATTAAAAAAAAAAAAATCTCATAGAAAAACAAAAAATAGTCATTTAAAGTATTAGAATCAAAAGTCACAAAAGGCAGTTCCTTCTTAAGAGGGGTAGACTGGTTCATATTCTCTCCATGGTTGCGAGAGAAGCAACACAAAAAAATAAAGGTTTAAACTCCTTCCCTTAAAAAAAAAAAAAAGAATAAAACAAGATGAAAAAACAATGTGCCACAGACCACTAGAAAAAGTGTATGGTGAGGAAAACTATCAATTTTTTTAAAGTCAAGGCCAATGTCTTCCTCATGAATTATTATATTTATTTCTACTCTCTCTCCTTCAAAAGGTTTTGCAAGGATCAAACAAGATATATATGAAAGTGCTAGGCAAACCATTAGGCCCTATAAAAATGTAAGTGGCATAAGTATTATCATCATAATTATTATCACATTGATCAACTGAACTACTGCTATACTAACAACCAATTTTTGGCACACAATCTTTCTAATAAGACCCTAATCTCCTAGAAGGCAGATGTTTCTAGTCTAACATAGTGAAAAGCACCCTTGTTAGGAACACGGCCACTCAGATGCCTTTTGAATTTAATTGAAATCGACCCCAGAAAACAGAAGTTTAAATGAATAAATAAAAGGACAAACACTAGACTCACGATGCACATTAGCTCTGAGTTTTAAGTTGATTGCCTTTTTGCCTCTTCTATTTTAGCAGGTCAGTATCTGATAAATATCCCCCTCCTCCCTCTGTTTTAGCTCTGTTTAATATCAGATGCAGGAAAAACAAATAACTCTTTGCTACTGTTAGTTATGGGCATAAACTCTCATTGGAAAAGAGAGTTTCATTCAACAGAAATGCAGCACAATGATCTGGGGGAGGGAGGAAGGAAAGGAGAGACCGGTAGAGCCAGAAGAGAAGATAGAGCCAAGAAAGAAGGTGGAAGTGGAATACAGAGGGCAAGCTTCCAAAGACCTGGGAATATGTTAACAGGTATCCCCTGCAGACAGGGGCTGTCAGTAAAGTGCTGAGCCTTGATTTTGTAATGTGCGTATTCCTATATCAGCTATACAAAATTATAAAAGTCAGACTAATAAAATAGACAACTAAAAAAATTTTTAATTCATAAACACATCGCTCAAGGCAATCAGAATGCAGTCTCCTTAGGACACAAGCAAAGGAGAGCACATTCTCTTGGTACCAAATTGGTCCCCTCAATACTTCATGTCAGTTTTCACTCCTCCTTGACTAACACTCTCTCTTTTAAAAAGGACATTCCTTAATAAGGGATCACTTTTAAAACTTGGGGTCCAGCTTTCTGTATTAGGGAAATAGAAACAGACATGTTCCAAAAATGGTATTGCCATTGATCACTGGTCTAATATGGATACTGGAATTTCAGAGTGGTAAGCGTACTTTTAAAAATGGAACGTAACTGCCTAAAAGTCCATACAACACCATGAGTTTAGCCCTTTCAACATCCTTAGGAAATGAACTTTAATTCTGGAGCATTTCCACTGGACCTCTGGCAGGCAAAGGCAGTTGACTTTTAATTCTGGTCATCTCCCCCATTCCCTTTATTAAAAAATGTAAAATACTTCTAGAAGAAGAAGGAAATTGGAGCAAAAATACAGAAAAAATACAACATCACAAGCACAAAGCTTTCTAAGCGCACATTACTTGAAATTCTCATAGTCCGGTCATTTATTTGTAAGTAGTGACTTTATGTGGGTCCCAGTACCACAATGAAAAATCATACAGAAAGTCATATCCTCTACTAAAGATGTATCTTTAGCAAGACAAAAAATAATTAATAACATATTGTATTATAGTATCATTTTCTGATGCAAATATTGTGTTTGTTTCAAATGTGATATTTAACAGGCCCTAAAGCATAATACTTTTGTAGCCATTACCCTTTTAAAATTCCCTAATGAACATAGTATCACTATCCTAAAGGACTGTCAATTCCACCTTGTTCATTCTTCTGTTTGAAATTGCTAATATAATTTACCTAGCTTCTGGTCACGTTCTTTAAAAACTCACTATTAATCTTATTTTTCCTTTAAGCAAAAAAATCATTACCCTGGGCTACCAAAAGAGCAGCTTCTGCTCTTCATGTTTTTTAAAAAATACTGCTTGTCCACCACGCTTGTCTTAGAAAATGTAGAAGTCTCACTAAAGAGCTGAGGAGGAAAACTGCTGGGAATGTTCACAGATACCTGATTTTACAAGTTTTTGTGGAAAGAGCTCGCCTTTAGATGAGTGTTACTCAGTGTTTATGAGGGTTGTTTGTCAAGACAAAAATAAGGTACCTCCTCCCCACAAATTAAAGAATCGAGTTACAATCCATTATTTCATTTCTGATTGTTTTTCTTTGTATTAAGTGGGAAAGTGGATACTGGATAAAAGTTCCCCGAGCTAAAAGACTCCACATTAAAGGCTCCAATTAGCTATAAATCAGTTGTCTTTCCTACTGGGGGAGAACAAGAGAGAAAAGAGAGAGGGGGTAGTTAGGGAATAAGAGAACTGGAAGAGCTTCCAAATTAAATTCTGAAAAACGTACCTATTGCATACCTAAAAGTTCTTTCAGAGGCTGTTAGGAAAATCCCATCAAAAATAGGACTAAAATCAAACCTTCCCGAATCTGAGGGTTAGGTCTTAAGTGTAGACCTTCCATTTTAACCTTTAAAAAGAGCCTGAAGAGGTTAGAGACCCTCATAAAACAAAACTTTTAAGCTGCATGCTTTCCCTGCTCGTTCCTAAACCCAGAGAAGTGCCACACATTGGCACTATTGTTATGCAAACAATGCCTAAAAGGCTATAACCATTAACGACCTCTCATTAAAACGGCTTTGAAAAATTTGTCACACCATCTAAAAAAGCTAGCAGGTACCTTAAATCCATCTAAATCGACATTGAAAACACAAATCGCCCTGATTTGTAAGCTAAAACTCAATGCAAGTAAAATCTCAATATTCTGATGTTGTTTCTTGTATATCTCGTTCAACCATTAAGCCAGATGCAAACAATTTACTTCTCTACAAAATTTATCTTGTAAAAAAGCATGATGGAATACATCTTTAATCAACCTTTAACCATATGCATGTGCGTCTACGCGTTTGAGTTAATTGGGAGAAGTTGGGTGTAGAAATGTACCGAAAGGACTAGAAAATCAAACCAGAGAACTACAAAATGAACTCCAAGAAACGTGGTTTTGAATCCCATCTTTCTCTCACCACCTCCCTCAAAATGTTGTAGCATTACAATACACCCATGTTTGTAATCGGTCATTTTTTTCTATGTCGAATTTGTGAAAAGTAAATTCATTTTATGTTAGGTAGCAGACGCATATTCTTTTTTATGCGACGCAACAAGAAAAATCCTGCTTAGCAAACCCAAGATGTCAAAGTTCGTTATTATAAAAAAAAAAAAAAAAAGTAAAAAAGTTCTTCAGTTTAAAACCGAACGTGCTAACAAATTTTAAAACTTTTTAAGTTTCCCAGGAAAACTGCCACTGCCTACAAAATTCACATGAAACGCTGACGTTGGATCTACTGTACTTATCAGTCAGGTTTCCATGGAATTTGTCAAACCGGCCAGAGCGCTGGTGTCTTGACAATTTCTTATGGGAAAAGCCCCTCAGCACCCTCCGGGCTGCGGAGGACATGATTGGGACCAGCAGCCGAGCGGCCCCGAAGGGACAGAGAAGCGACTGCCAGGCTGCGTGGCCAAGCGGACGGGGAACCCTGGCCTCCATCTGAGGACACGAAGCGGTTCCGACCCCTTCCCCGCGGCAGTCGGGACCGGGAGAATCGGACAGAAACCAACCTCAGATCGAGTCCAGGGCAGGAGCCTTTGACGGCGGCCGCTTAACGCTGCGTTTCAGGTTGGGGCAAGTCCCCAAGGCGTCCTAAGGCCGCGGAGGGGCTTCAAACGCCCAAGTCCCGAAGACAGGCAGGGGGTCCCTCTGCTGAGCAGGGATGACAGGCTGGCCCCGGCGACCCCAGCCCCCCCCCGTCCCCGTCACGCCGCCCTCATCCGCTGAAGAGATCGGGGAGAGGAAAGAAGGTTCTAGAAAGTCTCCGTGGACGACGGGCGCTCGGCGGCCGCTTACCTTGGTGTACTTGATTTCGAGGTTGGGCGTGGGCGACGGCAGGAGGTGCAGGGACGCCATGAGGGCGGCCGGGTCGGCCTTCACCTCGCCGGGCATCTCTATCTTGCTGGAAGTCATGGTGGCGGGCCGGGT